TCTTCTCTGTGTCACCTTCCCAGACTCTGCACACAGTCGGCGCTACATAAATGGTGGCTGCAAACAGGAGACGAGCAGCAGAGCAATGCCCCAGGGAACAAGAGGGATGCTGTTGCCAAGGCCAGGGCCAGGGTGTCTGTCCTGAGGCCTGAGCCCCACACGACCCAGGGCCCCTGAACCCCATGGCCCATCTCACTGCTGGGGTCGAACCCCCAGAGCCCCTGCAGCCACTGCCTCAGGAGGTCAGGTTGGGGTGCAGAGTGGGAGGGATGGGCGTTTCCAGGGAACCCCTGTGTAGGTGGGATCTGGAGGGCTTGATACCCTCGAGCTACCAGCCAGCTCCATGCCTAGGGCAGGCCTTACAGAGTTCCGGATCTGCCAGCTCCCAGGGGCAGCCTCAATGTCCAGAGTGGATGGGGGTTTCTGTGGGTTCACTTCTGCCCCCTGCTGGGATGCTTAGAAGAAGAGCTCAGGGACAGTGTGGCCAGACCCTGACCCCGACAGAAGACGCTGTCTGAAAGACTGGGGGGGCAGCAGAGACCTTTACAGAGGGACAGAGGCCCAGGAAGCAGCGGCCGAAGCTGTGAGCCTACGGCGAGAGCCACGGTCACAGAAGCCCCACTTGGTGCCAGGCATTTTGCCTTCACAGTGGCAGAGTCTCCCAGTGGCCCAGGAGAAAATGAAATACTCATTCCATGCTGCCAGCAAGAAAAGAGAGGCTGAGGCCCAGAGAGGCTCAGGCCACCTCCCCAGGTTCACCTCATTTGGAACATCCCCTTCCCATCCCACGATGCTGCTACAATCTTCTAAGGGGACTTCTTCACAGGTCATCAAATGCATTGAAAACTGATTCTGTTCCTCGACCCTAAGCTGCTGGAGGAGGGGGCGTGGAAGCAGAGTCAGGGTGCACCTGTGTGTTCAGGTGAAGGCGTTGGTGTGTTCAGGTGAAGGCGGAGGGAAATTGCTCATGGAGCTAAGCTGAAGCACCTGCTGGGCCCCAGGCAGGCAAGGCCCTGTGGGCAGGTGGGAAGCCAAAGGCCGCCTCTCACCCTGGGGAGGGGCAGGGGCTGGAGTGACAGTGCAGGGTGAGATTTTGGCCAGGCACAACTCCATCCATCCCTGCATCCCCAGGAAGCCACAGACACCCAGGTCCTGAGAGCCTAGCTCTCAAATGTCCCTCCTCCCTTGGGTGCCCCTGTCCATGCCAGCCCTAAGCATGCAGCCTTCAACTTTCCCATGCACTCCCTTCCACTCTCCAGGGCTGAGGAGCAGGAAGGAGATGGCTCAGAGGTGTGAGCCCCTGTCCTGTTCTCAGAGGGCCACAGCTACTCACTACCTGCTACCAAGAGAGGGAAGGGTGGGAGTCGTTCTAAACCAGCATCAGTGCATGCCATGAAATGGAAGCCGTGCTTTATCAACTAGAAATGAGGGCTTGGTTTCAGGCATCTTCCCTAGAGGCCCTGGCTGAGCCGAGGCTGGGGTCTGGTTGCGTTGCTCTGATGGTGTGCACGGGCGGGCTAGGCACCCGCCCAGAAAGAGAAGCCCACAGAACAAAACTTAAAGGATGTGTTGTTTAATTTTTAATTTTTAATTTAATTTTTGTTTTTTCAAAAGCATCAAAGTCATTGTGATTGGAAAGAATGCACACGTTGAGTCTGGGGTTCTGTCCCTGGGCGCCGAACCAGCCGGGGACATGGCCCCCGGAGAGCTGCAGACCCCAGGGCTGGGGCAGTGCTCTTGGGAGGATCCTGCCACCAGGTGGCGCTTCTCGGCCAGCCCAGGCCCAGGCTGCAGGGCCTGTTACTCCCATGGCAGTTCTACAGGTGAGAAAAGGAAGCTCCGAGTGCATATATAGTAACTTGGAGAAAGTCGCAAGGGACGAAGGACCCTTCCCGGGACACAGGAAGCTTCTGGGGGATGGGGACAGGGACTCAGGTGCAGAGAAAACCAGAGCTGCCACCGTGGGGACAGGGAAAGGGAGTCCACCCAGAGACAGCAGAGGCAGGAGCTGCCCTCCCTTCGCCCTCCGTGGCCCTGAGCGAGGGGCTGCCACCACCCAGAGCCTGGGGACCAGGGCCAGTGCCTGGGGATGGAGGCCATGGTCGAGACAGGCCAGGGAGGATGTGGCGGAGACAGAGGGAGGCCCAGGTCAGCTGACACAGGGCAAGCAGCAGGTGAGCCGACCCCAAGGCCTTGCCCCCTTCCCATGTTCACGCCCCCTCCCACGTTCCTGCTGGCCGCCTTCCTGCTCTGTGAGGTCAACACGCAGGGGAACGGGGCAGAAGGGAAGGTCTCCCCACGCCCAGGGCTCTGCTCACTTGGGCCAGGGGTTGGAGGGTGGTCATGGCACCAGGGCTGCTCTGAGCTACAGCCCCGAGGGGGGCCGGGCGATGCCTCCTCCGTGCCAGCCTGTGTCAGGGCCCCCGGGAACCCCCAAATCCCTGCCTCTGACCTCTGCAGAGCCCAGCAGGCGCCTCCACGCCCTCGGCCACAGGCTCGGAGCTCGCGGCCCCCAGGGGGCGCTCAAGGACTGCTCATCTGCGCGGCTCGGTCCGCCCGCTGCGCTCCTGCAGCCGCGCTCCCTGCTCCCCGCAGCCTTGGGCAGCACTGGCCCGGAGGAGGAGGCGCTGCGCTGCGGGGAGGAAGAGAGACTAAAGGGGGAGACCGAGAACCCAGGGTCAGGAAGCCAAGAGCTAAAACGACAACCGTGGGTCAGCGGCCCGCAACTTCATTTCATGACCTCTGGCCTCCAAAGCCGCTCTGCAAAGTGGTCAGTGCTCCTCATTTTATAGACGAAGATACTGAGGACCAGGGAGGCTGTGGACCGCCTGAGGTCACACGACTGCTGGGGCGGCGGGCGGGTCTGTCCGCAGGCGATTGTCCTCCAGGCACACGGCAGGGTAGAGCTTGGAAGTGGCCCAGGTGGGTGTCCCTGGGTGTGGATGGAGTGACCCTGGAGCCACGTGGAGCCACGTTCAGACCCAGAGCTGAAGCAGGACAGTGATCAGTAGAGCAAGGCCGTGCACACCCCCATTGCAGAATTGAAAATGCTCCTCAAAAGAAAACCACGTGTTTCACAAGAATGCACTGATTCCTGAGAACATCCGGACTCAGGGGATGGCAGTGGGGGTTGTAGATGCAGCAACCACACAAGTGAGAAGGACTCTGCTCAGTGTGAGGTTCCAATGGTCTTGAATTACTTTGCCACGCTTGGACAAGGGGCCTGCGTTGTGACGTTGCTTTGGGCCCTGAAAATTCGGGAGCCGGTCCTAAGCCCACGCCGCCATGGCTGCCAGGTATCCAGCATGTGCACAAAACACCTCCAGGCCAGTGCTCTGCCCTGCCCTGCCCTGGAGACCCACCTCCAAGACACGTCTCTCCTCCGGCAGCCATGCTCACTGCCCTTCCTCCCCACCTGCTCAGTCCTGCAAAGCTTCCCGCCAAGCCTGGCACCTGGGGATTCTGTCTTCCACACTCCAGGTGCCTCCTCTACATGTTGGTGACCTCTGACCGCTGCTTCAGACCCACAGCTCCTGGGTGCACCTAGCATTGTGTCCCGATGGCACCAGTGTTCCAGGCCTGGGGCACCACACTCACTGCAGACCTGGCCTGAGACTCAGCAGCCGGGCACCTCGTGAGATCTAGTTTCTGAATGGCATTGTCACCTGACTGGGCATACAAGCCACAGGCCCTGTGGTCTGTGGGTGGCCATCGTCCTGTGTGTGAAGTGGGGCACTGGGACCCTTCCACAGCTGTGACTTTCTCGGAGTTTCCATCCCTGTGTCCTCCTCTGTCAGCGAAGCCCAAAGGTGAGGGGCTCCTGAGCTGCCACACGGTGTTTCCTTTGTTTCTGTGACTCTGCTGGTCCATTGGAGTATGCCCTTGGTGCCTCATAGGGTGCTGACCGACAGCATCTCTAAGCCCCAAACCACTGAGCCTGGAGTCATCCAGTCCCAGGGAAATGACTCTGCAGGGTCACGATTCCTGGGTCTGCACTCAGGCCCCCACTTTCCAACCAAGACAGCAGGATCCCAGGTATCCTGAGATCTGTCCTGATCCTGAGTCCTGTCCTGATCCTGAGATGTGCCCTGATCCTGGGTCCTGCCTGATCCTGGGTCCTGCCTGATCCTGCCTGATCCTGGATCCTGCCCTGATCCTGAGTCCTGTCCTGATCCTGAGTCCTGTACTGATCCTGAGACCTGCCCTGATCCTGAGTCCTGCCCTGATCCTGAGACCTGCCCTGATCCTGAGTCCTGTCCTGATCCTGGATCCTACCCTGATCTGATCCTGAGACCTGCCCTGATGCTGAGTCCTGTTCTGATCCTGAGTCCTTGCTGAGTCCTGTTCTGATCCTGAGTCCTGTTCTGATCCTGAGTTCTATTTTGATCTTGGGTCCTGTCTTGATCCTGTGTCCTGCCCTGATCCTGAGTCCTGCCCTGATCCTGAGTCCTGTCCTGATCCTGGGTCCTGTCTTGATCCTGGGTCCTGCCCCCAGATCTGATCCTGAGACCTGCCCTGATGCTGAGTCCTGTTCTGATCCTGAGTCCTATTCTGATCCTGAGTCCTGTTTTGATCCTGGGTCCTGTCTTGATCCTGCGTCCTGCCCTGTTTCTGAGTCCTGTCCTGAGCCTGCCCTGATCCTGAGTCCTATTCTGATCCTGAATCCTTTCCTCATCCTGGGTCTTATGAGATCCTGGGTTTCATCTTGTTCTGCCCATGGGTGATGGCCCAGGATGGGATCACCTGCTCTAGGGTGACTGCATGCATGGTCTCCCTGTGCCTTCCGTAAACTTTCCCTGGGACTTTTGGAGTCAAGGCAGCATCAGTCAGCATCAGCATCAGCACAGGTGTGGGTTGAATAGGATCCCCTCATTCCTGTCCACCTGGAAACTCTGAATGTGACCTTATTTGGACACTGGGTCTTTGCAGATGTAATCAAGTTAAGATGAGGTTATACTGGAGTAGGGTGGGCCCTGATCCAATGTCTGGTGTCCCCGTAAGAGAAAGGAGGGGAGGAGGTGAGACACAGACACTCAGTGGAGAAGCCCACTTGAGGATAGAGGCAGAGATGAAGGATGCAGCCACAAGTGAAGAATGTCTGGCCACCATCAGAAGCTGGAAGATGCAAAAAGAATCCTCCCCTGGAGCCTTCATAGAGTGCGTGTCCCATGGAGAACTTGATCTTGAACTTCCGTCTGCCTGAACTGCGAGGCATCAATGTCCATGTTAAGGCTCCAGTTGGGGGCCATTTGTTATGGCAGCCCCAGGAAATGAACACTGGTAGCAAGGATGAGCACAGCATCAAAGCCAAGTCCCTGTTCCCGTTGCCCTCACTGGCACAGAAGGACAGGGGTCTTGTCATTTTTCAGAGGACATGTGAGGAAAATCATGAACTAAAGAAAAAGTGCAAAACTATATACACCTGAGGTTGTTTTAAGGTATTTTAAGATAAAGCAAACAAACAGTTTCCCTAAGGAAACGGCACAAACAGGAACCAGGAAATGACTGTGTGTCCAGCATCACTCCTGACCCTGGGCAGGCATATGAAGGGCCCAGGCTCAGGAAGCTCCACACCTGCACACCTGCCTCTCACCTGCTCCTCTACCTGCTCCACCCTCAACCCACCAGAACCATGGGCTGCTGTGGCTGCTCTGGAGGCTGTGGCTCTGGCTGTGGGGGCTGTGGCTCCAGCTGTGGGGGCTGTGGCTCCAGCTGCTGTGTGCCTGTCTGCTGCTGCAAGCCCGTGTGCTGCTGTGTGCCAGCCTGTTCCTGCTCCAGCTGTGGCTCCTGTGGGGGTTCCAAGGGGGGCTGTGGCTCCTGTGGGAGCAGCAAGGGGAGTTGTAGTTCTTGTGGGGGCTCCAAAGGGGGCTGTGGATCTTGTGGCTGCTGCCAGTCCAGCTGCTGCAAGCCCTGCTGCTGCTTCTCAGGCTGTGGGTCATCCTGCTGCCAGTCCAGCTGCTGCAAGCCCTGCTGCTGCTCCTCAGGCTGTGGGTCATCCTGCTGCCAGTCCAGCTGCTGCAAGCCCTGTTGCTCTTCAGGCTGTGGGTCATCCTGCTTCCAGTCCACCTGCTGCAAACCCTGCTGTTCCCAGTCCAGCTGCTGTGTCCCCGTGTGCTGCCAGTGCAAGATCTGAGGGTGTGACTTTGGATCTCAGGTGAGTCCAGCATGTCCACACTACCCAAGAAGTGACCAGCGCTGCATTTCAGTCCTGTCTGTCCCACAGCTCTAGAAGTTGTGTCCCCTGAATTTTGTGGAAGGTGATGACTCCAGGTTCTTGGCCTGTGCTGACTCCCTTTCCAGTCGTTCTTCATGAGAACTCTCTTCCTCTCTCCTGATGCCCAGCACCCTCCCAGTTCCCAGAGCCCTGCGATCTCCTCCGACAAGCCCCTTGCCAGGTCCTGCTGGGGCAGGGCCCTCCCTGTCCATGACCCCTCCTGTCCTCCTTCTCCAGGGCAGCGGCAGGTCGGGGAGGCGGTGGAGATCTGCCCCCAACCCCAAAAGGCTCCAAACCTTCCTCCCAGGAGGTGGCCACTCTTGTAGCTTCTCTCTCAGTTAAGGGTCACCAGGACCTGAGACACTTTAAATAAACACATTTCCCACCCACGAGGCTTGTTCTCACTGCAGCTTTCAAAAAAAAATAAATAAAACTTTTATTTTTGGGAGGCGGAGACGGGTGGATCACGAGGTCAGGAGATCGAGACCATCCTGGCTAACACGGTGAAACCCCGTCTCTACTAAATATTACAAAAAACTAGCCGGGCGAGGTAGCGGGTGCCTGTAGTCCCAGCTACTCGGGAGGCTGAGGCAGGAGAATGGCGTGAACCCGGGAGGCGGAGCTTGCAGTGAGCCGAGATCTGGCCACTGCACTCCAGCCTGGGCGACAGAGCAAGACTCCATCTCAAAAAAAAAAAAAAACTTTTATTTTAGGTTCAGAGGAGCATGTGCAGGTCTGTTACGTAGGTAAACTCGTGTCCTGGGGGTGTGTCGTACAGATTATTTCATCACCCAGGCACTAAACCAAGTACCCATTAGTTATTTTTCCTGTTCCTCTCCCTCCTCCCACCATCCACCCTCCGATAGGCCCCTGTGTGTTGCTCCTCTCTGTGTGTCCATGTGTTGTCATCATTTTGCTCCCACTTGTAAGTATGTCCAGTATTTGGTTTTCTGTTCCTCAGTTAGTTTGCTAAGGATAATAGCCTCCAGTTCCATCCATGTTCCTGCCAATGACATGACCTCATTCTTTGTTATGGCTGCCTAGTATTCCATGGTGTATATGTACCACATTTTCTTTATCCAGTCTACAGTTGATGGGCATTTTGGTTGATTCCTTGTTTTTGCTACTGTGAATAGGGCTGTAATAAACATATGTGTGCATGTGTCTTTATGATAGAATGATTTATGAATCCAGCAACACATCAAAAAGCTTATCCACCACAGTCAAGTAGGCCTTACCCCTAGGATGCAAGGCTAGTTCAACCTACACAAATCAATAAATGTGATTCATTACATAAACGGAACTAAAGACAAAAGCCACATGATCATCTCAATACATGCAGAAAAGGCTTTTGAGAAAATTCAACATCCCTTCATTTTGTATTTTATTTTTTTGAGATGGAGTCTCACTCTGTTGCCCAGGCTGGAGTGCAGTGGTGTGATCTCAGCTCACTGCAAAGTCCATCTCCCAGGTTTGAGCGATTCTTGTGCCTCAGCCTCCCGAGTAGCTGGGATTACAGGTTTCCACCACCACGCCTGGCTAATTTTTGTATTTTTAGTAGAGACAGGGCTTCACCACGTTGGCCAGGCTGGTCTCGAACTCCTGACCTCAAGTGATCTGCCTGCCTTGCTCTCCCAAAGTGCTGGGATTATAGGTGTGAGCCACCACACCGGGCCGACATCCCTTCATGCCAAAAACTCTGAATAAACTAGGTCCTGAAGGAACACACCTCAAAGTAACAAGTACCGCCTACCACTGTGTCTCTTTCCCTGCAGCTCTTGTCTGAGGGAAATCTGCCTGTAGAGTTGGCCCGTTCACTGCCCGTCACTGAATGTGTGTTTACTGAGCTCCTCCTGCATCCCAGGTGCTCGCAGCTGACAGGGACTCAGAACCTCACCTGCAGCTCAGGTCCTGGGTGGAGCCAGTCTATCCAGTCCTCCAGGGACCCACAAGGTGCGTGTCCTTTTTCTTGCCTCCCATAGCAGCCGTGACTGAGGTGCAGAGTCGGCATACGTCTGGGTGTGGCCCCAGACACAGGTGGCACAGGTGCGATTCTAACCTCTCTGTCTGACTGCAAATGCTGCTCATAACCACAATGGAACATTTGGCCAGAGACCGCTCTCGTCTCAGGAGCCACACTCGGGACATCGCCAGGAAGATACCTCCTATCTCAGGCCCCGTCTCACCATGGCTCTGACAGCAAATGTGGGGGCAGAGGCAGTGCAGGGCAGGCCCCAGGGAGGACCTTGGCCAGTCAGTAGTGCCTTTTCCTGAGGCCCCAGCATGGCTGCCTTGCCATTCCTTCCTGACGGTCTCTCCCCTCAGCCCCCGAGCCCCAGGCCGTCGGTGACTCAGTGGCCCTGGGGACCCACCTCTCATCTTTCTGCCTGGCCATCCTTGGTCAGGAGCTCTCCCTGCTGACCACTCCATTCAGGTCTAAACCAGTGCTTCCAGTGTATCCATGGATGCATTATGATTCAAAAATAATCATCGCATTTTTAAGAGCTACGTGGGAGGGTGCAACGCAGAAGACAAGTCTTTGTTCTGCACAGTGGGTGGTTGGAGCTCAGAGCTGCTACCCAAAGGACAGGCCCTGGAAGGGACTGTGCCCTCTGACGGGGGGACTAGAAGGCGACCCAGCCTCTGCCGGAAGGAGAGAGAAGGACTCACGGAGTCCGTGTCATGTTGCCAGCTCTGAGTTCGATGCTTTGCATCCTCTATCCCAGTTACAGAAGTGAAAGCCACAGAGCCAGAATCTCAACCAATGTCACTTTGTCCCCAAGGCCTGATGCCGGCTGGCTCATCCAAAAAGTGTGGATTATGTTAGAGTGAAAGTTCTCCAGGAGTGAAACCACCTAAAAAAGGACAGAAAGGGTAGAAGAGACATCAATATCATGGCATCTAGATCCAGGAAAAGGACAACTAGAGAGCCCAGCCTTTAATATGAGCTCCCTAGCAGTCAGAGCAAAAAGGGAAAGAGGGGACACATAGGCTTCATCACCTGGAGGAGGGAGCAGCGCAGTGTACAGCAGAAATATGCTCTGTCACGTTTCAGAGTGAAGGGTCAGGTGGGGTGACGGCTGTGGAATAGAGGTGTCCCCTAGGAAAGAGGGTCCCTTGCTGCTGTTGCCACATTGTATTAAAATAAAACTATAGAAAAGTGGACAAAGTATCCATGTAGAACTCAATATATTCCACAAAAGCTGAGCACCCTCCTAGAACTGGCCCTCAGAGCAAGAAATAGAACATTCCAGCACCCCAGAAGCACCCGTTTCTAATTGTCACCCACTCCCCACCAAGAGTAACCACGAGCTTGAATTTTCTCATCACACACCAGTTTTGCCTGTTACTGGATTTCATAAAATGCTATCGTAGGCCATGTCCTCTCGTGGCCAGCTCCTTTGGCCCCGGACTGTGTTGGTGAGATTCGTCCACTGTGTTGCATGGAATGTGACCCGTTCACTGCTTTTGCTGAGTCCTACCTGTGAGGGTATAGCACAGCGTGCACACACACCCAGATGCTTTGGTTTTAAGAGCTACGTGGGAGGGTGCAACGCAGAAGACAAGTCTTTGTTCTGTGCAGTGGGTGGTTGGAGCTCAGAGCTGCTACCCAAAGCAGAGACCCCGGAAGGGACTGTGCCCTCTGACGGTGGGGCTAGAAGGCGACCCAGCCACTGCTGGAAGGAGACAGCAGAGAAATACGTTCTGCTGAGTCTGAGATGGATGATAAAAACACTTCCCTTGAGAAGTGACAACTTCAGGCCCACCCTTACCCAGGTGGGAGGCACACATTTGCATCAGTTTTGTGGTCCAGAAAACCACAAGCTGAGCAAGTCACTTAAAGTGGTCCTGAATTGATAGGACCCAGAGCAACCTGGTGGAAGGAAGTGCAGCAAAACTTCAGACAAAGTCTGTGTCCTCAACCAAGGCCCTGAGCTCCCCACCTACAGCCGAGGCAAACATGAGTTCACAGCAGAAAACCACAAGCACACAAGGAAAGCAGCCACCATAGGCAATAGCCAGTACCCACAGTCAGAGATACATGGAGACACCAAGGACATGAGTGAGACATGGAGACATGAATGAGGACATGAAGAGATAAAATACCAGCTGAATATTTTAAACAATGGGCTCACCAACTGTCTTGGGACCACAGAGCCTCTTCTAAGAGAGAAAGTTTCCTATCCTCAGAGTTTTAGGTAAACATACGGGTAAATCTAATGGGTTAGTCTCTTCAAAATGTGTTTGATGTTGTAAACAAAAGTCACACCATTCTCTGATGGGGTTTTCAACAGGAGTATTTGTCATTTATGAGACAAGTGTCCTATCTTGTGGGAAGATTCCTGGATTCCACCTAAATTAGTGAAATATTGATTCTAAGTACACAGTGCAAGAGTAAGCAATATACTTGTACTCTAGAGCAACCACTAAAAAGATACAAACAAAGAATATAGTCAAGCTGGTTCTTCGAAAAGATCAGCATATTTTTTAAATTTTAGCAAGACTGGCAAGATGAAAAAGAGAGAAGATGCAAATTACCAATATCAGGAATGAAAAAAGGAATATCACTTCAGATCCCACAGATGTTAAAAGGATAATACAGGAATACTGCACACCACATACATTTGGAAACTAAGAGGAAAGGGACCAATTGCTTGAAAGACATGAACTGCCAAACTCAAGAAGGAAGAAGGAGCCTGAATATCTCTATCAGGAAACAGAATTTGTAGTTAAAAGCCTTCCCACACAAAAAACCCCTTCAAGTTCAGAGGGTTTCATTGGTGAATTCTACATAACCTTCAAGGAACAAATAATCTGAAAGCAAGCAGGAAAAAAATATACAAGTTTATGGATACATGTGTATGTATGCATATAAAATTAGAAATCAATGCAATAGGAAATAGCAAAACAATGGAGAAAATTAATTCAACCAGTCAGGCGTGGTGACTCACACCTATAATCCCAGCACTTTGGGAGGCCGAGGTGGGTGGATCACTTGAGGTGAGGAGTTTGAGACCAGCCTGGCCAACATGGCAAAACCCCATCTCTACTAAAAATACAAAAATTAGCTGGATGTGGTGGCCCATGATTGTAATCTAAGCTACTTGGCAGAATAGCTTGAACCTGGGAGGTAGAGGTTGCAGAGAACTGAGATTGCGCCACCACACTCCAACCTGGGTGACAGAGTGAAATTCCATCTCCAAAAAAAAAAAGAAAAAAAAAAAGAAAAAAGAAAAAAATAGAAAGAAAGAAAATTAATTAAACCAAAATCTGGTTCCTTGAAAAGATCAATAAAGGGGATAAGCCTCTAGCAGAACAGACAAGAGAAAAGAGTAGACACACATGACTGAGGTTAGGGTTGGAAGAGGGATATCACT